AAAACCTATGACCCCTGCAGCACATACATGGAAAGGGCTGAGGCCTTTTCAGGAGACCAGATCAGTCCCCCAAACTGCTTTGTTCCTGCCGTAGCAAATATCCAGGTCTGAACTCACAGATTCTTCACTAGGCCCTGGGTTCAGAGAGGAAGAGACAAGTAACCATTAACTCGAGATTCTTCTTTAAATGTTCCCTACCCATGTGTCTAAGAATAGCAATTGCCTGAGTCCTAATGCATGTCCAGTCCAGCCCTAGGGCTGGCCACTCCTGCTCATAGTCTTCCAGGTCCATGACACCTCTCAAGCCCCCCTCCTGACACCCCATCTGTCAACAATACAACATAGAGCACAGATTCCTTGAAGAGCCCAAATCATCACTTCTGTGGAGGAAGCCATAGAGCTCTTACCCCTCCCTTACAGGACACAGCTCATTTTCACCCTGAGAGGTCTTGTTGGTTTCCTCTCACTCTGTCTCATCAGTATAGAATGCACCCTGTATATAGGAAAATCACTGCCTGGTAGGAGAAAGTAAGCATGAATGCCTAAGATGATGAGCAAATTATTTCAGACCGTTCTATTCAGGTCCTAAAATGTACCTTCCCAGGGCTCTATGTTGGTAAGTGCCTAGTACTAAGCATACATCACACATCATGGGGCCTCTGTGGTTTTCAATGGGATCTGATTTTGAGTAAAACCAAGATCCATTGGCTTCAGGATGCTGGGAAAACTTGGCACAGGGAAGGTAATTGGATGATACAGTACGGCTGTGGTTTGCCATAGCCACATTGACAAGGAAAATCCCTTAATTGACGCAAGTGGACCCCTGACACCCACCACAATGGTGCAGGTGATGGAAGATCATCCCAGGGCCCCCCTCACAAGATCTTCATGGCTCCAACCTCAGAAACTGGCCTAGCCTGGGTGGTTCGCTAGTGGCCATGGAAATGCTATCTGTAGGCATCATAAGAATATTTATTTAATAAAATAATCAATGAAGAAAATTCCATACTTTTCTTATACAGACAAAGGATGTTACATACACTGTGCTGGCTGCCAGAACAGAGGATATTTGAGATGTGTGAAGGTGCCTCTAATAGTCACAGGACACAAGGAAAGTTGCAGTCATCTGCCTGTTTCTTTGGTGTGCTTTGATTGTTCATCAGTTACTCTAGATATACCCTCAGGAAGGCAGCCTTGAATTTGGCCAAGGTATCATTCTCACTCCTCCGCCAACTCAGATTCCTCTCAATGATCTCCCTAAGTAGATGATGTGGATGTATGTCTTACAGAGCACAAGAGGTCATTTCAATGTTAGATAGAAGCAGGGTTCAGGCAGAAGGCAGCCCCTTCATGGGCAATGATAGGCCAACCTGAAGATCCATTTGATGGTTACCCCAGGAATTGAGAGTCGGCAGCTCTCACGAGGGCGTGATGTGAGCAGGCTAGTACTGAGGGAAACAGGACACCCATCAGGGTACCAGCTAAGGGGCACAGGAGCCCAGACACCCTCTGTCTCATTCTGCTTTACTTCTTCCAGAGATGGAATGCAAAATGAGCCCTCCAGATAAAACATGAACTCCTTTGGAATGCTTGCAGCCTGCCCTACAGCTGATTCTAGCCAATGGCCCATGGAAAGGATTTTTAAAACAGTTGCTGTGTGTCTTCCTTGTGTTGGCTGTGTGTATTTTCTCTACTTGGATGATTGGTATTTAACAGCCTCTCCTGAGCCAGCCTCATGCTCTCTCCATTTGGTGGTATGATGCCCACAGCCACTCAGAGCTACGAAGTTCCACTGGTAAAAGGAGGAAGGAAATGGAGGAGCTCTAGTGTTGGAGTCCGTTCTGTAGTTTGTGAGCTTCTAAAATTCATTTTCATCAAGCTTGGATATTTAGATGAAGCCATACTTGTGCTATCTTAGTGCATAGCTCCTTTATACTACCAAGTGAGAACCTGTGAAAAGTTGGGACAGGGTCATGAAACCTTGTTTCCTTGCTGTGTAAGTCTGTGAAGTCATTCTCAAGCAGTTGCCAAAGCGAGTCTTGCTTCCAGCACGTTTGGGTGCATGGTAGTAGTTCTAAACCTTGACGGTCTAGGAAAAACTCAATGAACCACTGTGGCCTCCCCATTGCAAGTATTCAAGAGACAAGTCAGGAAGCAAAGGCATCAGAAGCCCTGAGGGGGCCCAGAGGAATAACACATAGAAGTAATGAAGACAAATGGGGTTTTGTGTGTCACCTGTGTTCAACATTGCTCGGCATAGAGTCTGGAATGAACAGTCAGGTGACAGGGATCCAGGACTCTGGCTGCTTCCCACTGGGCATTGCTGTCATTTGGCAGATTAACCTGTCTGAGTTTCAGTTTTATGTTTTATAACCATGGAAGTAACAGTAAAAAGTAGTGGCCAGTTCAAGGGTAGCTTTTGGAATGTGGTGAGCTCAGGTAAATAAAATGCTTTGGAAACAAAAATCTCTAGCCCCCCTCCCCTGCAAAAAAAGATTAAATTTAATTTAATTTAAATAAAAAATGTATATCCCAACAGCTGTACACAGGCAGATTGTATGTGCCAGGATCTCCATCTGAATTATCACATGATGGGAAATGCACAGTCAAGTCTGAGCTGACCAGGAAAAATGGATGGTCCTTTAATCTGGTTTTCAGCCTCTCTGAGTATGATCTTTGGATACCAATCATTTGTCATAGACCAGGCTATAGAGATAGAGTATTTCTCAGTGTTTCAAGCACTTGGCTCAACAGTGATGCCCCCAACATCCCAGAGTTGCTTCTTTTCAGAGCATGGTCTAAACAATGTTGAGGTAACAAGGCCTGGGACACATATCTCCACCTGGACAGCCAGTGGTCCTCACATCTCAGCATGAATTAGGTATCCTATGAGCTGTTTCAATTTCCATCTCTGATACCCATAAAGATGGTAATTTAAATTTCCCCTTGCTCTTCTGAAGACCATATGGTAGATAATGTGCAGAGTAGAACGGACTGAAATTTCTGACATAGCTCTGTGGAAAAGGTACTATACAATCCCAGGCACATGAAGAGGACACTGTACCACATCCCAGGGACTCACACCTAGGCAGACAGTAAACAATAACCTTCAATGTGGCAATGTGGCCAAGAGCTTGCCTGTGTTCTGCAATGGGTCCATTCTACTCTCTGTAGAGTGACAGTTCCTATCTCTTGACCTACATAGAGGTCTCTCTTGTCTGTGTGGAGTGGGGAGTACCTCCCTTGTATAGATGTAGGTCATGAACTTCCATCACAGGTGAACTTGAGCAAACCCAACCACATGTGCCTAAATCTTCTGTGGACTACAAAATCATGATAAGGGATCCTATCAACTCACTACAGCACCTCAGCTGTTTCAGAGTGGTCAAAAGCTCCAGCAATTTTATGTGCATTAAATTAGAAAAATTACTAAAGGACACACTTGTCACTTGGAAATGTCTGTTGTGTCACAGAGAGTGCTGGGGTACCAAGGACAAATGGAGAAGCCGGCTAGTGTGGGTGTGTGACTATCCTCACAGCAGCCTTATAGTGAACATTCCTGAGCATCTCTAGCCTCTGCCAGCATAGCAGGGCCCTCTGCAAACCACTGGTAAAGGAAGTTAGAAGTTAATGACTCTCCTTCCAGATGAAGTGTGCTATTTCTCTTCTAGGAAACAATGTCTAAAATATGCTAGGTTTCCAGTTTTGTATAAACTACAGGTGGAGAAAGGGATCCTGGTCTTTGATAACTCACAGTGAAGTGAAACTTGTTCTGATGAGCCAGAAAATTCACAGTAGGGACCAGCAGGTAGGCCAATGAAGTAGAAGATAAGCATCTCCTCCTTGGGGTAGCCTGGGCATGTGCCCAGGCATCAGTGGAGGAGAGGGGGAGACTGTAGGACCCTAGCTAGTCAGTATCTGGAAAGCACCAAGGAGCTTTATGTGGAGATTGGGTAGTGATCTCATGGCTGGGTGAGTTTTGAAATCATTCTAGCTGCTTTTGAAAATTTTCTATCTCCAACCCCTACCCCTCCATACATCATAACTGCATCACAATGCAGTAAGTGTGGTCTAAGGGCTGCTTCTCACAAAGCAACCATGAGACCCTCTGAAAGGATCTGAGGATCTGAAGGATCATGTGGACCTGTATGCATATCTGGTACACATTATCATCCTCCCCATCATCCTGACTGTAATATTGGAGTCAAAGGAGTACTGACAAAGAGGTCCATTGGACAGCATCTTTCTTCCTTCCTTCCATACCAACCATCCCTAATCTTTCTTGTAAGTTAGCATGAAATCTGGAAAAAAAAATGCCAAAAGCACATGGGACATGCCATCAGAAAGTCCCTAATGCGGGGCTGGGAAGGTGGCTCAGTGGTAGAGTGCTTGCCTTGCATGCCTGAGGCCCTGGGTTAGATTCCTCAGCACCACATAAGCAAAAAGAAAAAAAAGCTGGAAGTGACACTGTGGCTCAAGTGGTAGAGTGTTAGCCTTGAGCTGAAGAGCTGAGGGGCAGCGCCCAGGCCCAGAGTTCAGGCTCCATAACCGGACCCCCTCCCCCCCCAAAAAAGTCCCTAATGCCAGCTTCTATTAGATTGCAACTTTATTCCCCAGCTAGACTTTCAGATTCAAATGCTCCTTGCACATGGTGGAGTTACCTCCCAACAAATCCATCATAAGTCAGGAATATCCCAAGTCAAAGTACATTTATTGTTCCCAGAAATGCTTCACAAAGTCAAAAAAGTTGAACTGTTGTAAATCGGGGATTGTCCATACCATGTTTGGCTTTTATAAGATTTTACCTACTAATGAACCAACCACCCTGGATTTTTGTAAGCTGCATACGGCAGACAGCAATGGTACCATGTGCATTATCTTTAGCTACAACAGCAGCCAAGGAATATCTTCTCCAGTCAAGCATAGCGTCCATGTCTTAGGCAGTTCTCCAATGATTCCTTTACCAATTGTCTTTCCTGTCTCTCCCACTGTCTCTACAGAGTGACTACTCAAGTGACACTGAGAGTGAAGACAACTTCCTCATGATGCCACCTCGAGACCACCTGGGACTCAGTGTCTTCTCCATGCTCTGCTGCTTCTGGCCTTTGGGTATCGCAGCCTTCTACTTGTCCCATGAGGTAAGGCCTCTGCCTGTTATATATCTTCACAGCTGTGCTGTGACACAAGCACACTGGATCCAGGAGGATCCAGTTATAAGGAAGTCAACATGGGAACTATCATAGAACACTCCAGACCAAATGGAGTACCCCAGGGGCCTTGGCAGGGTTGTTCAGGCTGTCCCAATTGTGGCATGATGATGATTATCTTTGCAGAGGTGGGACTGACATCCAGAGGAAGCTTGCTTGACAATCAGGCATCCACTTGGTAGGGTGCAGGTATACTTTGGGAGCCTGACCTACACAAAGGCCCTGGAGCCAAGCTAATGAGCCCAACCCCAATGCTGTCAAGTACCTAGTCCAAGTCAAGAACACTGTAATATTGAACTTAGTGAGAAAAGAGAAAGGGAGAGTTTTGCTTTCATTGTTAAGGTTGGTCAAGTAACAAGTTCTGGCTCTGCAGCAACAGCCTCGGTATACCCATCCCAAATGAATGTCCTTTAGTGGGAAAGGTACATCTTACCATGCGGATGTGCTCTACACTTCTAGTATAAGACCCTAAAATATACCAATTCCCCATCTTTTTATCATGCTGCATCCTTCCCAGAGCCATTCTGAAAGATTTTTTTTCCATAGCAAAGGAAGGGCATTCATTCAGAAAGCATCTGTTTTCCTAATCTTATTAACCTAAGAAAGGCATTTATGCATGCCAATTACAGCATGAAACTATGGCATCACCACCATGTATTTTCATCATCCCAACCAAATGGGAGAAGGCCATCCTGCCCTGTGCTGGCTCAGGATGCATGCAGACTCAGAACTCATGGGGTGTTCTCAAGTGGGTAGATGATATCTGGGTGCTCTCAGGGATCCCCCTCTAGCTTTGAGGGGTCTGGGATGGAGGCTAAAAATAGCCAACCAATTGGCTGTTATGCTTTTATTGTTTTGTTTTGTTTTTTTTTACTTGACTTGAAAGTGGCTTCCTGGGGTGAGGCTAACATTGGCTTCTTGCTTGTCTCTGTACTGGTGGGGTCGGTTTGCAATTCTCTGTGTCCCTTGCACATCTCCAATAAAAAAAATCTGCCTGTCTAGAGGCAAGAAGAAAGAGAGCACTGGATGGGCTGTGACCCACCTGAGGGCAGGTACCACTTAGCATCACCACAAGAGGCACACAATCATTTCCAGAGGAAACAGGTGTTACTGGAAGGAGTGGGGCATGCCACATCGGCAAGACTTGTAGGGCTAAGTATGGCCAGCACTCTGCTGGCTCTGTGGAACAATGGATCAGGGATAAGGACTTATGCATCACTGAGGTTAGGTTAAGAGGCTGTTCTAGCTTTGGCCTCAGGATCTGTGTAGATTTTTGTTTTGGGGATCTGCTCCACAAATGCCACAGACCCCTGTCTTTGTCTCCAGCAGCACAAGCACGTGTGGAAAGCCAAACTTCTGAGCCTGGCAAGGTTCAAGTGGCTATGTGTAATAGAAGGCCTAGCTGACTGTAGACTGCAAAGTGAAGCCACAGGCTCTGTTAATACTACAGATTGGGGTGGGCAGGGAGGGATCTAGAAAAATGTGTGTAGATGGTCACATGCCCATGGTGAGTGGGCATGTGTGAGCTACACCTGCAAGCTCAAGCTAAACAAATAAATAGCAGTCCCACTACAGCTGGGACGATGGAGTGACGAAAGCTGGATCCTGCCTAGCATCACACTGTGGGCTGTAATCCATGAGCTCGGTGCCTGGTACAAAGCCTCCCTTTGTACCACATCGCTGGGTCATCTCATATGGAGGTGGGGACAAATCTTCGTAGGTGAATCTGCCTCTTGGGAGTACCTTCAGGTTGAAAATGTTGTGATGCTTTATGCTTTGATGCCAAAGTTTGGAATAAGACTGGTCTATATCTACTGGGGAGATATGACCCATTTCCAAATATGAGAGCAGTCAACTAATTCATGTAGTTACCCAACAAGGTAGAGATCTGTCAGTGTAGACATGTCAGCCGGATGTGGGATGAATGTGAGTCCTCGATAAATGGGAAGGCCCCAAAGAGAGACAGCCAGACTTCTGTCACCAGCGTGCTGAGGTCTCCAGATCACCTGTAGCCTCTGTTCTGCATGTCCTGAGATGAAGCTCCTCACTCTAGAACAGGCAGGGCAGGTTGTAGACAGCACCTTGGTTTGAAAGATTGTAGTTCGAATAAAAGCAAGGCTACTGTGTTCAGTGTTCATGTTCTCTTTCTTTGAAAGAGATTTTTATTCTTCATACAGTAAGGCTTGGATCTCATGATTCATGACATTCAATATACCTGCAGCCATTAGATGGGTTTTTCATGATTTGTTTAGCAACAAATATAAAATGCAGTTCAAGGCAAGCATCTGATCAGTCATTTTCAAGTGAACCTCCAGCACTGTTGTCAAATGAAGGGATTGTCTGAATTATTGGAGTAGAATGAGGCACTCCAGGGGGCCAAGACCCCAGCTCTCACTTGTCATTGTGCTTAGAGGATAGATTCACTTCCATGGATACAGAAAAGTTCAGCATTTTCCATCAAGAAATCTCTACAGGTGGGTTCCCTTCCCACTACCTGTGTCCAGATAGGGGGTTCTCTTTTACTAGTTCATCCAGGCAGCTCTCCTGGTCACAGTCTAGAAGGATAGTAGCCTGGGTTTTGCTGCAGATCTGGCAGCCACAGACCCTCTCGCACAGCGGCTCACACTGGCCATGAGGCTGCTGTGCCTTCTGTCTGTGCTTCTGCAGCCTAAACTGCAGACATGAAATCTCCAGCAGGCCATTTGAGGGGAGCGGGCAGCTGCCAAGGGGAGGGTGTGTGGCACAAAATAGAACAGACATACTCTGAGAATCATTGCTCTAAATTGAATCAGTACTGGCCTAGACAGGGCCAGCTGGGAGTTCTAAACCTAAGGAGTGGAGGAAGCATGGCGCCCTGGTGCCCTGTCTAATGGTGGAGGGAGGGGTGGGGAGCTTTGGGGCTGCTGCGCCGCCCGTGGCTCCTGAGCCGCCCGTGGCTCCTGAGACACAGGGTTGTTGGGGACAGAAGAAACAACAATCAGCAAAGCACTCATTTTGAAGCCAGAGTTCTCCTGAGGCCACTCTACTGTTGACAGGAAATCTAACATTCATATGTGAGTTTTTGGATTCTTTTTCCTTTTATCACAAATTCTATCTCAGTGAACTCCCTGACAATTATCCCGTGTCTGTTTATTGTCAAAGCAACTGTTCAGTGAAGTCAAAGAAATGTGTGAGGCCAATCTGGGAAAAGAGCCGAACAAAACAAACCATAGTCATTGGATTCAGTGGGCCAGCAGTAGAAAGAGTTTCTAGTATCCTTTGGATTATAAATCCTGGATATTTTTTGGTAGTGCCGTCTTCAAGTCAAGTTCTGATCAACAGACAACTCCTCTGTGCCTCAGTTTTCTGATCGACAGCATGATGCTCAAATAATTAGCATCACACTGAACACACATGAACGTCCCAGGAGGCTCGTGAGAGCTGCTGTGGCTGCAAGCACAGTAGGGCCCTATTGGAAACCTGAGTTGTCCATGCTCTGTGGATCCAGTGGTGAATGGATTCCAGGAATAAGACTGACTTCAGGAATTGTAAGACAGTGTTCATAAAACAGGAATAAAAGAAGTGATGGGAGGCTGAGTCCTGGAAGATCAAGATTGGAAGCAGAAAAGTCCTTGAGACTCTTTCTTCAATTAACCAACAAAAAGTTGGAAAAGTGAGTCCTCTGAATTCAAGCCAGCATGCCCATGTGCATGTGAACACACACACACACACACACACACACACACACACACAACCATGACCACTGAGCATTAACTATGTGCTAAATACCATATCAAGTACCAAGTGCTCATGCTTCTTGGGGTGTAGACCTGGCCCACAGCATCACCAGACTGGGCACCCATTAAGAGTATGCATTCTCTCCCCCAGTCAGCTTAAGCTGAGGTTTTGGTGCACAGCACAAGAATCCAAATCTTAGTGAGCCCACTAGATCTTCCCCACAGCACTCATCAGTGTCTTACTATCTCCACAACCTTGAGGGGACATGGGGACTGTAGTCACTCTGGGGTTGTGGAGTCTGCAGTCCTGCGGGGTGAGGTTGAGTGGCTTGCTTAAAAGCACAGCTGATTAGCAGTGAGTGGGGCTCTTGGCTGAACTGTGCCAGAAAAGACTCTCACTTCTAGGCAAAACATCATGTTCTAACCTCAAACTATGGTGACAGACTGGGGAAGAAAGAAATGAATGGAGCTTGTTGATACAACTTCATTTTGCCCCAGTTCTGTTCCTGGCGTGATCCAGCCCCCCATGCGAGCAAGTCCTGTAAGTAAATTTACAGAGAAAGATGCAGATATACACAGATCTTGGGACAGATCCATTTAAGAACTAATGTTTCCAATCAACACTGAGGATAGAAATAAATCCCACAAGTTGCTTAATGACATGTGTAAACCAGTTAATACTCATGCTTTATCTTCTTTAATCTCTTCAATAAAGCTGAAATGTGAAAAAAAATCTCCATTTAAATGAACACAAAATGAAGTTTCAACTGGTGAGCCACTATCAGGAGTCACAGAGGCAGCAAGTGTGAGTACCTGAGATAAATATCTGTACTTTATCAAACCACTTCTTCTGCAATGCAACTCTGACTTTCATCTAATTGCAAACATAAATAGAACATAAATGGCTTCGTTTGCTGTCAGCAGGGGTCAGGGGACCCAGAAAAAAAATGTGGCCTGATACTTACTCTCATGCTTTACATTCAATCCCATGGGACAGATAGAAGCCCAGCTCAAGACTAGAGCTAGATGCTCCCCAGGAGCCTCTGGTCTAGAACCTTCCAGACAGGCCCCAAGGTTGCATGCACTGAGGTAGCTAGCAGAATCTTCTGCATTTAGACATTTATTATGTCTTGATTTAATTTCATTTCATAAAAATGCTTCTTTCCTTTACTAACTGCAGCATTATAGCAATAATTAAATGGGAAAAGGGTATTC